GGAAGGCAGACTGCACTTCATCAATGCCTCAACACTTCGCTTCTTTAGTTCATTTCCCGAGAAATCTATCAGCACAAATAAACCATACATCCAACTTATACGCTGTTCATTTGACTATTTATCCAGCTGTAATTCATTGAAGGGCTATGAGCAATAATTGCCTTCTAGATCTGCTTTTTATTTTCGGTCATGGGTGCGGACCTCCTGGTGGCCTCATGTGATCGGTCCTTCAGATTATAGGACCGTCTACTGAACCATCTTGCCACTAACGGAGCAGGAATCCCCCGAATTTGTTTGCTTTTTATGGAGCAGAACCTCCACTTCGACAAAGTTTTGTTTCTATCCCTTGCATTTGTTATAAACACCCTCGAGGACCTGTAACCCGAGGATACCTGAGCCGAGAAGAAGAGTGAAAAAAGTTTCCTTTCACCATCTCCGATCGTGAGATTCAGCAAATAAGTCCGGTCATTCCTTCCTTTAGATTGAGCTAAGCAGCAACTTCGAGTGGAAAAAGCCGAGCAATACAACCATCCCAAAAAACTTTGTATTCGTTAACCCTCAGCTCACTTATTCTGGGAAAAACGCATCCAATCGTTCCCCCAGATAGATGCATATCACTGATCATTATAGTGCTTATGTCTATTTTAGGGAGATAGAACCAGAATCAACGAAAAAGTCTGCACAGAATGACAGAATGATGGGTCAACCCAACACCTTCTCAGGAATCTTCTCCAGCTAGCGCGTACTTTGCACAAACATGGGGTGCTCGTACGCATAAGATCATGGAACTTGGCACCTGGAACGCTTGACATTATTTCATTCACCTGCTTACTGCCTCGGTGTACGTGATACATTGAGAAGTGACACCGCCTAACACACGTTTGCCTTGGGGATGAATTTCCATGTGTAATCTCACTTATGTTGACCCAAATTTATTCCTGCGTCGTCGGCTAATTTGTATCGGACTCGGCCAAAATGATAAAAACACTGAGAAGAGCAAACAGACAAGATAGTGAACAAACAAAAGACGAAAACATTGGTTTATTTTCGCAAGTCAGAGCGTGATTAAATCTCACTCGAACGCCAGTATGATTGTGAATGGAATTTCAATGCTTGGGTGATGAGTCTGAATGGAAGTTTATGCGGTGTTGAGAATACAAAAGATAAGACTATCTAAACAGTTCCCTGCGCATTTCCTTGTCCGATTCTTAACGATTTAATTCAATACATGCAGTATCTATCATCAATATATGTACTACACTATCAGTGGCTTGGCTTCATGCCATGACAATCTAATATGGCGCTGTAACTTCCAGAGGCTGCAGTTACGAGCTGAAAATGTAAATGTCGATTTTCGAAGTGTCCACTTGGGAGAGCGTATTTCCTTGGTCACAAAAGAAATAGTGCGTGTCTCACTCAAGATGTCTTAGGAGAGGCTGATTTCCACTGCACGGTGAATACAAAAGGACAATTCAGCCAAGCTTCAATATCCCGAGTCGCGTCATTTTTGATATTTGGTCTCGGTTGACGTAGAGCGGGCACTTTTTTGAGTTTGATGATAGTTGTTGGAGTTTCGCGTCGTACGTGTAGTCTCCGTCTCTCGACAGTACTAGACTTTAGACTTCAGAGCTGTAGCAAGGAGGATGCTTCCTACGATGTCAAATGAGAAAAAGCTCCAACAGAGGCAGATCAGAGGTTGCGGTAATTCGTCACTTTCAATCCGCGTTCTCTGATCCAGGCTCGGGCTTTAGATTTGGTTGGTACTTAAACTCCCTTCCGCCAATACAAATTACAAGTACAACCAAGTTCAACAGATGATACGGGTAATAAATTGGAGACGGCTCGAGTTCAACTCAGTCACATCGTCAGCTATGAGAACATTGGGATAACTTCAACCTCTTCTTTAAGAGCGGAGTATTCTATTGAATGTGAATCTAAAACATCCAGGTATGTGGTCAGCCAACAGCAAGTGGCCCATGTGATCATCCTCTACGAGAAAGCGCATCATGCCAATCAAAACTATGAACTTCTGGAGAGGGTTTTTCTCCCCGGCCGCTAGTCTCCTAAGCCAAAGAAGATCTTCCATTCTTATACCTCAAAGTTTCCCAACGACAAGACATGTATGTAAATGGAAGAGTAAATGTGGCTCGATTCTCTGTTTGGGTTGATAGAAGCTCGAGTAAGACGTGGAAAATGATTCTTTGCTTTTCTCTTTTTTGGAACTGCGCCTTTTCAAATCCAAGGTAAAATATAGCATACAATTTACGAGGAGCTTTGTGTGGCATGAAATCGAAAAAACACGCACGAACTTTTGAGAAAACCAAATATTATCGATTGATGCCTTATCGTTTCTATCCTTTACTTAACCCTTGATCTATAAGCTTTTCCGTAAAAGCACTGCCTACAAGACCCGCTGAGAGCATTGACTCGATGAGTCTGGTACAAATTATCGGCTTCGAAGGGATGCAAGGCTTGGTTGCCTTAGCGAAATTTGAGCCGGTATTTGCACCCATGACCACGCGTGTGGTAAACGGCGCCACTTCCCTCTACACCACCTCCGCATAGCGAATTTTATGGCCAAATAGCGCGATGCGACGCTCTACTAGAGCAGTCATCACATGCACTACACACTCCCCTACCGAAACCGTCAGCGAGCCATATTCTGGCTAGGTATTTTTTTAATTTCATCGAAGTAAAGATAATGGTCAAATAATGTGTGCCAACACGATGGCAGAACTACCATGTTCCAATTTTGCACTTTCCTCCATCTAAAAACCGACTGTCAACAGGCCACGTCCAAGCAGGGTTATTAGCGGAACAGAGAAATTTCTTGACTCAGCCTTCTGTAGTCCCCGCCCTACACTCATTGAAATCCCACCCGTCAGTCCAAAAACCGGAAACTGTGCCGGGTTCACGAGCTCCGTGCACACTCATAGCACCTTTGCCATCTGTCTCATGTTGACTCAGCGCCGTTTCCACATGTAGCCAGCCTCTCGCTTTTGCTCCGTACGGCTGCCCCGTGGGGTATTGATGCCTTTTGTAAACGATTCCGATTCTTCATTCGACGCTTTTTATGCTGCTCGTACGCCTCGGTCTATCTACTGCTTTTTAGATATTGATTGCTACTATCAGAAGCGAAAGATGGGAAGCCGGCCACAGTCACGCGACGAGACGTCTTTTCCAGCTGGGGTACGTCAGGCCGCCGTCAACACATGGCGATCTCCCACTTTGCAGTGTTTGCTTTGCCTACCGAGGCACAACGAACCTTGAATTCGGCTATAACATCGATTTCCAGAACACTACAAGCTCTTCGTGCACATCCGAACGACTTGGAGCCTTTGGCGCTTTGCAACTTGATTATCCTACTGATTATTCATCTCAGCGCCGCACAATGACTGAATATCCTCACGTGTCTCGGTACAACATATTTGAGCATCTTCCGTGTCAATTTTACCTACTACTATTGAATTCGTGAATCCATGAGCAAAATGCCGGAGGTTATGAACATCGAATCCATCACTGTGAAATGAGAATACAAATATTCTTTTTTTATTTTGTTTTTTTACTTGTAGAAATTTTCAATTTTACTATTTTTGATTTTTCATGCGTAGAAAAATCCATTGCCGATCCTTCCAAGCGCATTAAAGCCCACCGTTTTCTGCCTCACCATCTTTTGGTATCCTTCCTCATCAATAGTTGATAACTTATTCTCATAACACAAGAGTGAGTGCAAAGTGGAAAGTGACTTTTCGAGGAATTTTACTTCGACTTTTCGACACTTTTTATGTTCGCCCCCGCCCTCGCCCCCCCCCCTCCTATACCCCACAAATATCACATTATTCACAAGAAATGCTGGTTGTGACCAAACCATTAGACAATGAATGTTAACTTGTTTTTTTTCTTAAAGCGAGAGATTGCGATAGGATTCTGTTGTGCTCATAGTGGAAGTGAAGATGCTGAATAATGCCCTAGTAGCGAAAAAAGCAAAGAAATCCGTCAAAAACGCGCAAAATGGGACCACTTCCTCTGCCCGTTGACCTCCGATAATGGACGAGTTGGCAACCAACTAAGAGGTCGTCGGCACTCGTTAAACCATAGCTGCCATCATACCACCAGAGATCATACCTTGATTGATATAGCATTCCATGAGAAAAAAATTGGATACGCGCTCGAAGTGGCATACCTTATCAGAATGATAATCGAACAGCGATCTGCTGAGGGGCGGAGCACAGGCGGAGGCGGAGCTCAGAAAGGATTGGCAGCCCCAGGGCGCTGCAACGAGCGCACCTTTAGTCACAAAAAGGCCACATCTCGATTCCTTTGGGCTCTAGCTACTGCTTGAAGTGCTGCTCGTTCTTCCATGCTGCACAGAAATTTTATCGTAATTTCTCGCGCTTTAACTGCAGTGGGAGGCTAGCTAACAACAAAAACAATACAATTATTGCTTTGCCACACACTTTCCTAAATTTTGATGGGAGCTTAAATTTCACTTTTTTCACCATATTTAGGATGCTATCTGAAAAATTTAGAGTTTCAACTTCAAGTAAATTGAGGAATGACAGACCACATATTGTTACCCTGAACCTACGCGTTTACCTACGTCATGGTAATTGCGAAAAAAAATAATGAATAAATCAAGCAAAATGATCCCCCTCTGTGTGGACGCATGGTATACCACACAAATATTGCGCGATTACGGTGGAGTATTATTTCTGAAGGGGAGGTCTTAGACAATGTTTGCGATGATAGAGAGAGCTGGGCGAAAATAAGAGCTCGAATGGTTCAATCAGTCCATTGCTAGCCCAAATTTCATGAAGGGATCACAGAGGATTGACTAAGACATGCTTCTTTTTCTCAAGTCATTCTAGTTTGACTACTTAGAAACCTAAAAAGTTTATTTCCGCTTCACAGCGTACTTTGGTAGTTTCACTGGCTCACTATTCCGTTCTTCTTCTTAATAATTATTATTAATCATTATTAATTCGATTAATCACTATTAAATTCACTTACAGTAAACTGTTATTTATATGGTATCATTATTTGTTACTATTATTTATTTGACTAGTTATTGATCCATTAATGCTATGAAGCGTTTCCATAAGCTTCAGAACCATAAGTAGAAATCATTGAGTGTGTAAAAAAAATTATTCAAAGGCATTCCCTATACAATGTTTCTCCACTTTTCCAACAAAAATAACGCAATTTTGTTTAGCGCCGTCTCACACCATATGTGCATAATGAATAATCTCGAAAATATGGAAACAAATCGACCATTCGCCTTCGTCTGCTGTTGCGAAATTAGACGCTATGACTAGCTGGCAAGCTTGTCATAAAAATTAACGACACACCCATCCCTTTCAAGTGTTAAAAATGGAAATTTACCCATTCCACTCATGCCATCTACAAAAGTGAGCTTGACGAAAAATCAACTAAGCTGCCTAAAACTGCGCCGAAGTCCCTGGCAATTTTGACAGACAATCTGCTTTATGTGAGGTCTGGATTAGGGGACAGAGAAGGAAAGGCGCCAAACTCAGACAGCGAGCACACAAAGCAAATAGCGAAAAACCCAACCTCTCATAGATTCTAGAATGAAATCTTCGGCACTTTGCTTATGGTTCAACAGAAATCTCTTTTCTCAGAGATATGGAATAGCTTTTGGAAGCATTACTCTATTTATTTAATTACTTTGTATGGCATGAAGGTGATTCAAGTTAAGGCCCACCGAGTTGCGAAACATGGAACCGTCCGTAGCCAATGACGAACGTTACGATCCCCACTTATCAGCAGGAACGCGTGGGAGTGCAGGGTCAACAAGAGTGCAACACCAAGGCGAGACCCCTCTTCTCAGACAGCCATACATGTCCTCCTACCCTTCAAACGGTGAGTTTCTATCGGTAAGATTTCACCTATTACCATAACTATGAATCGTCTTCCAAGTACCCTCTTGGATAGACATAATAAGCAAGCTGTATGTACTCTTTGATTAGCCCTTTGGAAAATTCGAATCCGAGAGCTAGATGATTTGCTCTTGGCATACTGTATTCAAAACGAGCCTAGCAGAATACACTACTAAGTCTGGAAAAACTTGAGGCTAACACTGACTTTCCTCCCCTTCTAAAGAGCGCCTTCATACGATGCCCCCTCCTAAGTTAGCCTATCATAGTTCTCACTTACTACTCCTCATATCCCTTACTACAAATAAGTTCCCACCATTAAAAATGGCAGGTGGGTGAGGAGTTAGTACAGCT